GGAGCTATTTTTCTGATAGCAATATGATAAAAGAAAGAGATACAAACAGCATATCATTCACAGTATACATTTCTGGATGAACAAAATAACAAAAAAGCACCTAACCGTAACTCTAAACATCATGTGTCTTTTTTTTTAATATATATAAATTATACTGTTAAAATATATTATTTCGACCTATTTTTATGTGTGTTGTTAGGTGGCTGCCTCTAGTGGCCCCAGTTATTATGACGGGAGTAAAGGACGAAGTCAGGTAGTATAAAAAGCGTCAAAGTCCGCGTGGCGAGGTCAAAGGTACTATCACTTAGCAAAACGAAGTCTGTGTAGCAGGTAAAAGAAATACACGTCCCCCGTGTATTTCAGTCGTTAACTTACATCACATACGTAATGTAGGTTATTTACATTGTTAACTTAAGTCACATAACAAACATACTTATTTGAACCTTGACGACGAGCTTTCCTAACCAAGAAGTTTTGTTGCCTGAACCTAACCAAACTGCGACCATTTCACAAAGTTAACCACATGTTTAAAACTGCAGCCATTGCGTTCAGATATACGTTGTGTTGATCTCCTCCTACTGGTAGGGGGGCGCTAATTCAGGCGGCAACCTCCGATTCTGCAGAGTGAAGTCAATATTTAAGTGTCTTAAAACTTGCATTCTCTCTACTGACCATCAGGGGGCGACTCCTCTGGTTGTATAGAAGTCTATGAGAAAATGACTCTACTTCTCTCTTGATTTATTACCTCAGTAAACATTGTAAACATGAGTTTATGGTCTCAATCTCTAGTTTCAAGTCTTCTTCAATACAGCATGATGTTCATTTAGTAAATGATGGTCCATTTAGAGTCAAATAGACCATAAAGCAGGGTATGCTTTAGGGCGGGCTTACTGTGATTGACAGGTTGCTGCCGCTACCATAGTCGTACACAGCGTCTCTACGTCACTCGTCCGCATTCCAAATATGGTAACTTCTGTTCATTGGTTGCGAAAAAAACCAACAAGACGACAGCTGCAATCCAAGATGGTTAAGGCGAAATCAGCGATCTCGAGGCTTCAAAACGACAGTCCACAAACCAACGGGTGATGTCAAGATGACTACGTCCACTTCTTACACACAGTCTATGGTCGTACTAGAGAGGAGGAACAAACAACCTGTGTGGTCCTACGGGTTAGAGGACATGTTGGAACTCTCATATGAGAAGAGGTAAAAATGAACCCATTCCTGTACCGTTTGGAAGGAAGAGTTGGGAAATGTGCTGCAAGTAAGATGAGAAGAATGATATCTCTGTATGGTAAATATGAAGCCAAGAAGTGGTTAGCTTAGCTTAAAAACTTATAAAAACGACAAAACATGCAGGTTCATATTTACTCGCACAGAGATGAGACATGGTTTCAATCTTCTCATCTAACTCACGGCAAGAAAGTGAATAACCATGTTTTCATTGCATTTTTTTTTACTATTCCTACAAATATTTCCTCCTGATAACATCGTCATCCTAACAATACCATCATACCCAATGCAATCTAAACAACAACATCTATCTACTGAAACAATTCCAATCCGAACATATTTTTCTGGAGGTTATGTGAAGCAGAATTTCGCTCATCGTTAGTTAAAACTCCCTGTCATATAAAAGCAAACCGAGCACCTCGACCCATCAGCTGGAAGGCCCCTCTATCCCCTCCCCTCTCCTCACATCCTCAGCGGGTTGGGATCCACTGAGGATGTGAGCTCACAGTGGACGGCAGGACAGACAGGAAACTTGACAGCAGTTTATCACCCGCATACAGGAAAGGACCGCTCCGAACTGCTCAAATGGAAAAAGGGACAAATGTGCACACCAGGCAGGCGCAGCCTACTATAGGGCAGAGTGACTTCAAGGTCCTGAAAACTTCTGACTATGAGGGACGCATGAGCACTTAAGGTTTTGTAGGAACAGATTGCAATTTGTCAAATGACAGATTTCTGTATTTCAGTGGTTTAAAGTGGGAAACGCTCGGTTGGGAAAAGGATTTAGCAATATTTAAAAAACCAGGAGAATATTTGAAACCAGGAGAGACAACTGGCAAGAGGCTGTGCGGTGCTAAATAACTGCCACAGCAGGGGGCCCAGCTCTCTCCCTCCGCTCCTGAAATGTATCCTCCCACCTCCGCAACTCCCTCTTAACACGACTCCCTCCGACTTGCACGTAGTCCTCTCATTCCTCCCCTTTTTTAATCTCCCTCCCCTTGACTCTCTCCAGTTCCCCTCCTGTCCCTCCGCCTCCATCCATCCTTCTTCTCTTTGACCCTGGGAGTCGGCGAAGCAAGTCGAGAGGGGAGAGCGCGAGGGGAAGTCGACTAATATGGTAAAAGAAATCCAAGGGCAGCACTTCAGTGAGGTCGAAGTGGGTGACCTCTTCCACGCACCGAGGAGCAATCTAATCCGTGTAAACACAGAGGGACTCGGGGCTTTGCGGGACGGAACTGATACTTTGGTACCAAATCAACACCAAAATGTTTAGAAAAACGTGACGGTAGTCGTTTTTCCACAGTCCTAACGGAGCTAACAGCTGACTTTAATGGAGGTCGCATTGACTTTCGTTATGATGCGTTCAAGCTTTATTCAATAGGCGAAGGTAAATTGTAACGTTATCACGATGACTGTTATCTTTTAAAATGTCGTTTTTGGCGAGAAACCTGAGGTTTAGGGAATCATGGGATTTCACCGTTATTGGAACACTATCTCACACAGAGATGAGCTCTCTCTATCAAACTGCTGAATTATTCTGCATCGTCGATAACGCACATGTATATAAATCAAAGAATCCCCCACAAAACGATCTCTCTGTCTCAACATAACTTATTTATCCGTTTCCCCGTTCTCTCACACAGCCTCCCGTTTCCCTCTCAGCCTCGGCTTTTTGATTTGCGGCTTCAGAATAGCTCGCGTCCCGCCGGTACCATCGGGGAAACAGACACGCAGGCGGTGGCCTCTGCACGGACACCGAGATTCCCTGGAAAGGAAGGAAGAAGGAACCTTCCTGCCACGGGCCAACTGAGCGGACGGTTATCGACATCAATCGAAAGCAAACACTAAAAGAAAAGATTAAAAAACACACCAAAAAAACAACAGAGTCCGGCCCTGGTGTTTGGATAACCAACATGTCAAGCTGCTCGGGGTAACCGGGGGAGCGGCTTCCTGCGGGGTCCGAGGTGCTCCGGAGGAGTCACGATAACAGGGAGTGTGTTAATGTGTGGTGGTGGGCAGCATGGGGGGGCATGTGGGTGGAAGTTTGCGTGTCTTTTTGTGTGTGTGTGTGTGTGTGTGTGTGTGTGTGTTGATGTCTATTTGTGACGCATACAATGCAAGCAGGACCACACAGTCTCTTCTGGTATGTGGGATTTCCAGGTTGAAAATAGGCCCAATGCACCATGGGAGGAGGGCAGGAACAAACAGCAGAGAAAGAGAGAGAGAGGGGAGGAGGGCAGGAACAAACAGCAGAGAAAGAGAGAGAGAGGGGAGGAGGGAACGATGATGTGTGTGTTCACAGCAACCGAGGCAGAGTTGTATTTGTCATTTTCATGCTGTGTTCAATCTACCCACCTGTCACCAAATGAATAAATAAAGCGTGGGGAGGTTTCTGTGGCTGACTGAAATGGGAGGTGTTTGGTAGGACAGGTGGAAAGTGTCCAAGTCTGTTAAATAGCCACTGTTAACACATGAGATGACAGTGTGGAGAGGAGGGAAAGTGGGACCGTCTGCACACACTTACAAGGAGACTAAAGAGGAGACACCCCAGGCACAGAATGTCCCCTTTTTTCATGCTCTTTGAGATGTTGGGCTATTTTTTCAGCAAACTTGTAATACAAAGAAATATTGTCTCAATGTAACTAATCAACTGTGGACATTTCCTAGTGATATCCATTAGTTATATATATATATCTTTCACCTGTAGTGTCTTCAAAATGTATGCAATTTTACAAAACATATCTTTAAAGGCCTTTTTCTCTAAATATGTTTTTCTCAGACGGCGAGCCAGATTCATACAACATTCTGTTACTGAAAACATGTTGAAAATGGATTTTCTATGTTTGTTGACAGTACTTTATTTATTTTGATTTATGGAGGGATAAAAAGAGATATCCAACATTCCTTCTGTAAAAACCTCTAATATGTCAACAAAATGAAACAAGTTTTGGACCTGACGCTATCCAATGTTCAGGTTTCAGGTCTGGAAATGTATGCAAATAAGCACATATTAGGTAACGTAATGCACCATTTGCATATTTAAACGTCATCAAAAGAATTGTCATAATGTAAGCTATCAACAAGTTCCATGGTGATGTCTATTAGTCAAAATGTTTACCATATTCACCTGCAGTGTCTCCTCTGAACACTATGGCAGGAGCTGAGGAACTACATTCAACACAAACTCACACTTACTTACTTATACGAGTGGAAATACTCCCCCCAAAAAAATTCAAAGATACCAAATATTTGACATGTGTATGAAAATAATGCACAACACACAGTGCATATTGACATTTTTGTAGGAAGTTCAACTGGAGAACAATATATGAAACCCAAGAGTCAGTGTCCAATGACAGGACGAATATCTTTACAAGAAAGTCATTTTGCACTTAATATTAAAATGTGATATTATTCATAGAAACAGCTTTTAAAGAGTGTCTAAATTACTGGTCAATAAATGATCACGTGTACCGAATTATAACTTGTATTAGAACCATGAGGAGAGTACTATAGCTGGTGACATTAACTCATATTGGAAACACAGCAGGCTAACAGCTAGCTCGTGTTAAAGTACAGCGTAGCTGAGCGGTGTCTCAGCCGCGGTGTGAGTCACCTGTTGCGCCTGGCTCCTCGCGGCACCGTTTACCGGACTCATTACAACGTACAGTGCGAGTCAGGTTCAAATAGAGCGAGGCTGACGTTAGCGTGGAGCGTCGCGAGCTCGTAGCGTTTTGTTAAAGTTTAGGGAAAAACACGCAACTCACCGGCAACCCCGGGCTCCAGCAGCGCAGTGAGGCAAAGGATAGATACAAGTCCCCGTAAAGATACGGTGCGGCGCGGGCCCTCCATGTCTCCGGTCAAAAAAGGTTGTCATTCACATGGGAGTTGGAAGTACACGTGAGTCCAGCGGAGGGTTGAGTTTGACGCGTCCGCTGCGCTGCGCGCTCCACTCCGCTCAGCAGCTGGAGACTCAACTGCTGAACCATCCATACACACACACATACACACACTGCGTTGGTTACACACACACATGTCTCTCACAGGAAAACGAGGGAGGGAGAGAGGGAGGACTCTCTCTCTCTCTCTTGTGAGTAATCACATCTGTTTACACAGTCAGTTATGGGGACCCGCCTTCTTTTCTGGGACAGAATAAATGTCCCCATAATGAAAATTAATTTTAGGGTGAAGACATAGTTTCAGGTTCGATAAAGTCTCCTGCAAATGACTCCAAGTCAATGTTAAATCATTACATTTTAGGATGAAGACATGGTTTAAGGTTAGGTTATGTCTCCTGCAAATTAATTTAAGTCAATGTAATGTCCTCTGAATTGATGGAAACAGTACTGTGTGTGTGTGTGTGTGTGTGTGTGTGTGTGTGTGTGTGTGTGTGT